CCTCAATATCTTTACCAATAACTTTCAGTTTAGTCTAAAAAGCCCGAATGAGATCTATGCATCATAATTATAACAGTTTTACTAGAGCCTTGAAGTTGTACGTTCACATCATTGAAAGATTCAGCGCGAAGATATGAGGTTCGATATTTTTTAGAACTACGCCCATTATATTACCAAGGGAGGCGAAGCCATACTTTGCGCACAAAGCTTATTGATGAACAGGGAGCGGATTTTATGGATATTGCCCTTTTTCTGCTTTCGGCGCTCTCATAAGTTTGATCGTGTCAGCCACACTCACGTACGTTAGCGTGTCAGCTGACACGATCAAACTTATGAGAGCGCCATGCAAATGAAAACTCACCACCGTGTACGTGCGACGGTTACGCGTGCTTCTCTCTCCCTCTATCAACAGTAAATTTTATATGTTGCTACGTCAAACAGATACGGCACGTACCCGTCGGTGAGTGTGGGCACCTTTATACTCATACGCCATGTACACCTGAATATATTCGAATACTTATCCATAGAATAAAAATTAACTCGATTTTCGGAATCAGCGAGCAATTCTATATAGGAATTGGATATGTAGTGGCGTCCGTTGAAACATTTTCCTGTAAACCAGTGTTACTTTTCAGTGTTTGTCTTTTTTGGTGCCTTTTGCCTTTTTTGCTATTTCTAGTGCCTTTTCCTGCCTATTTCGCTACTTTATTTTGCCTTTTCCAGCGTATTTCGTTATTTTATTTTACCTTTCTTATAGATTTTTAGGTCCTAAAAATCCGCTCCTTGTTGATGAGTGATGCGATAGAACTCAATAATCGAATGTCTTATGTGAATTTTGTTAGTTACTGTCTGTATTTTTGGCTCTTCTGGCCTGTTTTGTTGGGTGTGAGTAGAACTTGAAAAAAAGAAATTGTGTCGATTAGGTAGTAAATACATCTACTAGTAATTGAGCAATTGAGTTCTCAATTAATACCGTGCCCAAATTATCTTGTTGCGTGCCATCAATATGGTATCACAATGGGCACATGGAGGCCTAAGTGTGCCCTTTTTCTGTACGGATGAGGGCAGCCAGGATAACCTAACCTTGCCAACTTGCCTACATACGGCTTATTTACCACCAACTTCTAGCGATTGGCCAATTGGTTGATAAATCAATGCGTGTAGGGCCTTTAAACGGGACCACTTTTGAATTCATGAAATGAAGAATTCACGAATTCTGTCGCATAAACGTAGTAAAAATCGTCATAAGCGGGAAACAGAAAATTTCGCTACTAGGCTCAGTAGCCGACAGTCAGTAGTCAGTTGCCACACTTAATGCGAATTTTAGTATATGGTTGCCCATCGACTATCGCCTTACAAAATAGGGCCATTAGCTGTTAAAAACAGTTCACTCCGGTTCATCGCTATAATCTGACAAAAAATTGAGATTTGATATTGAGATGCTTTTTTAAGATAGAACTGCGAAAGTCGCTAAAAATTACCAAAGCTCACTTCGCATTTTTTGGCGATGGAGTTTTAACGGTAGCGAAAGTCGGAATCTTAATAAATATTAGCTGCATTTTTTGGTAAGCGAGCGACAAAAAAACGCTCAGCTCGGGTAAAATTTCCTTTTAGCTACTTAAGCAACCCTGCTGGTAGCTGGCAAGAAACTTGTGATTAGTTCAACGGGATTTAGACACAAAAAACAATAGAAATTAGTAATTATGCGAGGTATTTGCGTAATATATATACTTATTTAAAATATAACTCATGTATATACTGTTACGATTATCCTTGAAACCTTGAGGGATTTCCCAAATATCCTACGGCTCGTTGCTGGATTGTTAAATAAATGCTCACGATGACCAAATTGTAGTACTTTATTGTACAACAAACACTTTAGAATACTCGTTAAAGCAATTACAACGCTTTACCAAACTTGTTACCACAATTAAACTTATAGCGCTTATTTGCAACTCACTTTACTTGTAGCTTGCTGACTTGTAACTTCCCAACGCCGCTGTGTCGTGGCTCTTATATACCTGCGCTCGCACTCATGGCAACTCTACAATGTTCTGAAGTTCATCGCTCATTCTCTTTCTCTCGCTGTTCGCAGTGTTCATCCAACTTGACGTTTCTCTTTGTGGAACATTCTACGTCATTCCTCGAACATTCTACCTATTTCTCGTTGTTCGCTTCGCGTTGCCGAAGTATTCGCCACAATAGGAAAACAAAAATTTCCCTCTCCACTTTCCCAGTAACAATTCGCAATAGAGCAGTTTTTTCACTTAACAACAATACTCTTCAGGTCGCGTATGTTTTAACCGACCTGGCTGAACTCGGATAAATAGCCGAGTTTGTGTTGTTGCTTTGAGTGTATTTCGTCATTTAAGCGAGTTCTTTTGTAGCTCGGCTGCAAAAGAATGGACCTATTATATATTATCATGACCAGTAGCTCGTTTCTGCAACTCTTCTCTACCGATTATTTCTCTACTGGTAGAGAATATACGTTATTCTCTACTACTCATGAGCAGTAGAGAACAAGGCGGCGAATTCATATTTCAATTCGCCTTGGTAGAGAATTGTTACAGAAACGAGCTACAGGGAACGGATTTTATGGAAATTGCCTTTCTTCCTGCTAAAGAAATAGAGTATATTCGATTAATAATGACCACGATTTAGCTTTCCCTGAATCCATATATGCACATTTGATGTTGCCTTTTCTACCTTTAATTGTAAATGGCAAGGAAAAGCCCTTATTCCTGATAATATGACAGTTTTAAACGTTCCATATTTAAATTGGGCGCCACTTGTATCAACTCACGTCGAGCGCACGCTTAGTACATTCAAGGCTTTTCTTCGCGAAAATCGAATAAAAGCGCTGCCAGAAAACTTTAAAATGCATCTTATCGTTCAATATTACTACAACTACAGAGATACAAGTTTTGTGAGTTAAAAAATCGAAAGGAAGAAATAGTCAAAGATTCAAGTACAAATTTTTCATATAATGAAACTAGTTCATAGTTTTTCTCTTCTTACTTGTAAAATAAACATTTCTAAAATAAATGTATTTTTTGATTATTTTTCGGCTTTTGTCTTTTTATAGTGTCTTCTTTTGCCTTTTTTGTGATTTCTAGTGCCTTTTTCTGCATATTTCGCTATTTTATTTTGCCATTTTATAGGTTTTTAGGTCTTAAAAATCCGTTCCCTGATCATAACATTGGAGTATTGCTGCATGGATTTTATGGGTGCGAGGTTGTAGGTGTTTTGTAGGTGCCATTTGGTTATCCCGAGCGCAGACAGGTCCTTCTGCACTTGGTTCTTCCATTGCGTTCGTGGGCGCCCTTGCTTTCGTTGTCCACCCATGGGTGCGGAGTCGAAGGATCTTTTCACCGGAACGTCGTCATCCATGCGTACAACACAAGCGAGCGCAGTCGCTGTATTTTTATGCGCTTAATTATGTCCATGTCGTAAAAAAGCTCATACAGTTCGTCATTCCATTTTCTCCGATACCCGTCGTCCACGAAAACAGGGCCGTAGATCTTGCGTAGAATAGTTCTCTCGAAAGCCCCCAAAGCCTTCTCATCTTTGTTCGACATCGTCCAAGTTTCTGCGCCATATAAAAGGACGGGCATGATGAGAGATTTGTAGAGCGTGATTTTCGTTCTTCGAGCCCAAAGTAGCACCTGTTGGCAAGAGTTATTCTTCGCTTGATCTCCAGGGTGACGTTGTTGGTGGTGTTTATGCGGGATCCTAGGTAGACAAAGTCCTTCACTACTTCAAAGTTATATCTGCCAACAGTGACGTGTGTTCCGAAACGCGTGGACTCTTTATATGTTGCCAGGAGGTACTTTGTCTTGCCCTCGTTCACCGCTAGACCAACCTCTTTAGCTTCTTTTTCTAAACTGGAAAATGCTGCGGTTACGTCCCTTTGTTTCAGACCTACGATATCGATATCATCTGCATACGCCAGCAGCATCGTTCTTGTGCCGAATATGGTGCCGCTACAATTCAGATTGGCAGCTTGGCAGTGGTCAAAAAATTATAGCCGAACCACTTTTTGCCAAGTTTTAACGTATTATTTTTGTTGTTATTGAACTTTTGTTATTTTTTTTATAAAAATATAGTTCATTCTTTAACAAAACCCGTGTAAATCCAAGTTTCCAAATTTGTGCAATATTAAAAAAAAAAACAAAATTCAACAAACTTTCGTACAAGTTTCGAATGTTTTAAAAATTCTAAAAAATCAATCGAAATTTTTAGCCATTTGAAACTTGTACTTTATTCTACTAGAATTCAATGGGCTACAAAACTGCATACTCAAAATTTAATTTAAAACCTCGAAATTTTAACGAAAATTTGTTGAATTTTTTTTTTATATTGCATAAATTTTTAAGGCAGTGACACTCGATTGGTACATTTGTACATTTTTATATTGGGCTAGTGGTAAAAAAAGGGGAATTTTTTTTTGTAGTCAAAAGATTGGTACAAGACAGCGATGTTCTATTGAAAATTTCAACAAATTAATTTTCGTGATTGGGATAAAGAAAAATTCTTTGGGTGTTCACACCAAATTTAGGAAAATACCCAATCGTGTGACACTGCCTTTAAACTTGTATTTATACGGATGTTTTAAAAGAATGAACTATAAAAAAAACTAACCAAAATTAAATAACAGCAAAAACAATATTTTAAAACTTGTGAAAATTTGGTGCGGCTATAATTTGTTCAACTACAGTACATAAGTTTACAATGATTACTTGGCCGTGCTATCATAGTAGCACAATGCCACTAAGAACATTTTCAGGCAATAGCCCCATGCGTTTATCGATCATATTTTTTGTTGTTTGTGTGAAAATTTTGTTTTTATCAGTATTCTTCTTGTAATCAAAATATGTTGAAATAAGTGAAACTAAAAAAAATCCAGAACCCCCCTTAATCCCCCCCCCTCCCCCCCCAAAAAAAAATCCTGGCAACGGGCCTGCACGTATTATACCGAATAAGCCACTGTAATAAGCACGTTTAAACAAGAAGTCCGGTTTTATTTTAATTAAGTTAATGATTCGACGTTATACTAGTAAACTTACATATTTCAATAGAAACTTAGTTTAATTTATCCTAATCAGCATTTAGCACTTTCCGGGGCAATGTACCGTGAGTTTTCATATGACCAGATAGGCCCGAACTTTGCGCAAAACGTTTTCCACAAAATTTGCATGTATATTTCTTTTCGGTGTTGTGAATCAGCTGATGCTGTCGCAATTGCTTAACATTTTTAAAGCCCTTGTTACACACTCCGCAAATCTGATCTCGTACATTCTTATGAACGGCCATGTGTTCGCGTAAGCTTTTAGTTTCATAGAACATTTTTGGACAAAATTTACATTTGTGACGATATCGTTTTTCGTGGTGCCGGTGATTGTGTAGTAAAAGGTGCGATGACGTCAGCGCCTTCTCACCACAAATAGAACAAACATAGGGCCTTTCGCCTGTGTGTGTACGCATGTGGATTTTAATTTCTGTGGTTGTTGCGCACGGCTTGTTGCACACTTCACAATTGTACTGGTAGTCTTGTACGTGTCTTCTAAGATGGACCGTTAAATTAGTACCCATCTGAAAACCATGACCACAGATGTTACAAATAAACGGCAGCGAACCATCGTGTTCTGCAAAATGTACTTTGAGCTGACCTAACCCAGGAAGTAATTTCCCACATTTGGAGCATTCAAAGGGGGCAACGTCGACTTCGAGAAATGATATATAATCGTAAAATAGGTACGTGGTTTTATGAATGGAATTGGTTTTTTTGCATGCTATTTTTAGTTTCTTTTCATTCGAGCAGATTTTTCGCAACAGTATAATTTCTTTTTTCAAATCTTGGTGTGACAAATGTAGTCCAGTTTTTGTATTGAATTCATTGAAAACGGCGCTTAAAGATTCTTCACGTCTGTTTTTAAACCTATAAGCGATGTCCTCTTCTTTCCAAAGGCAAGTATGTAATTTATAAATTTCAGCCAAAATTATGCACTGCGCATCATCCAATATTGAACTATCCCTGGGGCATTTGTTATTATTAAATTTAAATTTGTTCTGTAATGAAAATAAAATTATTTGTTAAATTAAATTTAAAAATAATTATTTTAAATTCTTCATAGATAGATATTCTAGTAATGTTTATTTCCCACTTGATTTTAAAATAATACAATCGTTCTTTCCTCATCGAACAAATCACAAACGCTTTGGGTTTCGATTTTTCAAGTCGCACATTTATGCGATATTTTTCAAAGTTTTACGGTTTTTGACCGTAACAACGAACATACATATGTATATATATATCCTAACCTAATACATAGTAGGGGTATTCTCTGAGTCTTGCAAAGCCCTTGCACGGTGCACGGATTGCACGGTTTGCAAAGCTGTCCCATACGAAAACCGGTTTTAACCGTGCAATCCGTGCAATCTGTGCACCATGCAAGGGCTTTGCAAGACTCAGAGATTACCCCTAGTATGTTTCAACAAAGCATATATCGTTGCGGCGAGGAGAGCATCCAGCTTCAAAAGAGCAACGAAGTGTTGCAACATTCACACAGCTCTAAGAAACACAATTTAATTCTAGATTTTGCAACAAAATTTTAGATTGATAATTTACATATTTAAAAAAAATCAGAAAGTGTAAAATGAGGAATGTAATCTAAGTTGAAATACGTCATTCTAATTTACCCAAAAAGTGAAAACATCAATTTTTATTTTCCTTAGCGAGCGAAAAACCACTTGCCTGGAAATATACCTGACGCTTTGCGGCAACGCCGATTAGGCCGGGATCGTTACTGTTTAATAGTAGGGAACTTAGGGATTTACTCGCACGCGTCAGTTTAACATATCGTCGTTTAAAGTACAAAACCGCGTATCGTCATTCTCCAAAACCGCGTAACTGATATTGGCTGCCGAAAATTAGATTTGCTCACACAAGCTCTTGGCTCAATCCTTGTCCATTCGTCCTAAAATATACTAGCCAGAAATGCGATTTCTTTATAAAAGAGAGAACCATTTTGAAATATGAGTGTTTTTACTCTCTAGAAAATAATTTATGCAACCTCACTTTCAGCGTTGCCATTTTAGCCGTTTTCCGGCTAGATTTAGCCGGTTTTGATAGCAACTAGCCGGAGAAAATTCGATCTAGCCGGCAGCCGATTTGTTAGCCGGTCT